ATCACAGCAATTGTCATTTTGAATTCTTTGTTCGGTTGCAATTCGAATAATACCGGGTATTTCGGCCTGTATAAATTGATATATCAAGGCAGCGTGTTGTTTACTTGGTAAAATTTTACACGCATGTCATAGGAACGAACAACCTTTTCTTTGAATATGTTTCAGTGGCCTTCTGTATTCTTTAAAACTTACTGGTTTAGCAAAGGTAGCATAACAGGGTTGTTGTTGTCGTGTCCAATGAAGAACCTCAGATGTCTCCATGCATCTCTATCACAGCAGTCGCAATGTCCACTATCTTGGGTGTGTAAAGCTGCTGCTCTGGGTCCATGTCAATTTTCTGTTGTTGTCGTGTCCAATGAAGAACCTCAGATGTCTCCATGCATCTCTATCACAGCTGTCGCAATGTCCACTATCTTGGGTGTGTAAAGCTGCTGCTCTGGGTCCATGTCAATTTTTTGTTGTTGTTGTCGTGTCCAATGAAGAGCCTCAGATGCCCCCATGCATATATATCTATCACAGCAGTCGCAATGTCCACTATCTTGGGTGTATAAAGCTACTGTTTTGGGCATAACAGGGTGATGGAATATTGTAAGTGGAAATGTAGAACTGGTTTATACATATAAATACATATGAGTGAACTTACAATAATTGCAACTACAGAATCCTAACAACCATGGTTATCAAAGCTTGTAATATTTGACTTGTAATAAGTGACTAAAAATAAAGTAAACTTGATCAAAATACGAGATTTGTATAGTGGTTGTTACTTGAAGATTCTTGAAAATACCTCGTTTTGAGGAGTTTGTAAGCTAGCTATCATATCCTGGCTATATCGCTGTATAAAGACCTCGTGGAATGGAATAGAACCAGAGATTTATGTCAGTGTTTTTTTTTTCTTATCCCTAGTACACGTGGTACAGGCCATGATAATCATGGTGAATAGAAGTAGGGGATTGCTCTTACTGTAAGTGCACCACATGTCTACAAATGTGGAAATCAGTTCGGCTAGCACTTTAAAAATATGCAAGAGCACCGTTTGGTTACTTACACTCTCTAGTGCCCAATGCGGGAATCGAGCCCGGGTCATAGCGATCCAAAACTAACGGTTTAGACCATCCTTCCACCGACCCTCCTTTATATCAGCGTTATGAAGGTAAATAAACCAGGCAGTGTCATTTTTCCTACACGAGAGTTAATTGCAACTCCGGATTACACGGCGGAGATTAATTCACTGGAGGATTTTCTCTCCGCCCAATTATCGGAACTCCAGAGATTCGCTCAGTAATCCTATCAAGTCCCTTCCAACTTCATAGATATGGGTATTGTAATAGTTTAGGGCATTAACTATTACAACAGATTTGCAGCTGAGATAGTTCTGTTAGTTAGTTACCAATTCCTTTTTTTCATATCTATTTCCGCTATCAACGCGAGATATCTTCAATAATTACTAACTTACACTCTACTCTATTTTTAATAGATTATTTCTTAGCATATATACTATTCTATTATTTTACTCTGTAATAAATCTTAATTTTTAAAAGTTGTTAGGAAGAAAGTTTGTGATATATTCATTTAGAAAGCTTTTCTTCTATCATATAAATCTGTTATATGATATTTAAAAACTATTTTTGATGCAAATGATTATTTTTGAAATGAAATAATTTCCTACTGAGAGAGAGAGATTACTGTAATATATATAGAATATTGTTTATATTTCAAAAGAATCATACGCGTCAAAATAATATTTTAAATATCTTATAACACAGGCGCACTAATGCATCATAATAAAATAAATCTGTGATATTTTGGGATGTAATTGTGTGCTCGGTCTTTGTTTGTAATGTTGATATTGTTGAACGCATTTGTTGAAATAAGACGTTTATCATCAAGATCAACAATGAGTTTTAATTAGAGCCGTAATCACTAATTCAGCATTCAGAGAACTGAGTATACGACAACGCCGGTTTGAGGTAAAAGAGAAGATCAATATGGGGAAAATAATTTTCCCCATATAATATAATAATATAATATAATATAATAATTTTCAAGCTGCTCACAGATATTCTACTCCATTGTTCTCCAGAACCTTATACGTCTTAGTTGAAGGAATATCCAAAGAGTCACCATTCCAATTTATAAAGTTTTTTTCTGGATATGCAAACTTTTCAGATATATTATCATATACTTAATATTTGGTGATTTTGTTGGGAGGATATTTATCTATAAAAACAAAGGTTATCTCTTCCGTCAAACTAAACATCAAATCTAGACGCCATCTTTTGACTGTCGCTGTAAACGAGCGGCCTCAGGTCGGTGACAAGGTCACAACACCAGCTTTGACAAGCTGAGAAGTGTCCACCTAACGACCATGGTTTCAGACTAATGGCTCTCTTCAGCCAAGGGCAGACTTTATTCCATGAGATCCACAAGGAATCTAATGGAATATTCCATTACAGCTGGTGTTGTGGCTTTATCACCGACCTGAGGACGCTAGTTTTCGGTGGCTGTCTATAGATGGCGTCTGGTTTTGACGTTTATTTGACGGGAGAGGGGAGCTTCATCTTTATACTTTATATTGTACATCATTTTGAATGTAATAGTGCATATATCGCGTGGATATGCACAATATATTTGATATACTATATGCAGATTAGGAAATTATGCTAAATGTAGAGTGTGTTATGAATTATTAGTGAATACCTATTTCGTGAAATCACTGATCATATCAACAATCAGTATTTATATAAAGGGAAGTTATTTATTTATACTACAAGGTGATGCATGGTAGATTTATCATTTTCTGAATCTTTACTCATTGATAGTAAGTCAATAATTATTGTCATTATTCAATTCCAATTAATTACACAGCGTACCTTATAACAAAACAACATAAAGCAGCATTGCTGCTGCTGTGATAGAGATGCATGAAGACATCTGAGGCTCTTCATTGGACACGAAAACAACAGAAAATTTACATGGACCCAGAAGAGCAGCTTTACACACCCAAGTTAGTGGACATTGCTGCTGCTGTGATAGAGATGCATGGAGACATCTGAGGCTCTTCATTGGACACAACAACAGAAAATTGACGTGGACCCAGAACAGCAGCTTTACACACCCAAGATAGTGGACATTGCGACTGCTGTGATAGAGATACATGAAGACATCTGAGGCTCTTCATTAGACACTACAACAACAGAAAATTGACATGGACCCAGAGCAGCAGATTTACACACCCAAGATAGTGGACATTGCTGCTGCTGTGATAGAGATGCATGAAGACATCTGAGGCTCTTCATTGGACACTACAACAACATAAAATTGACATGGACCCAGAGCAGCAGCTTTACACTCCCAAGATAGTGGACATTGCTGCTGCTGTGATAGAGATGTATGGAGACATCTGAGGATCTTCATTGGACACTACAACAATATAGTTTTGTTGTTTAAATAAAGTGTGTGTCTCATAGTGTTGGTGTGTTGGCTTGATAGGAATACACGGGGTAGGCAGCAGCAGAGTGGAGCCTTATTAAGGAACAAAATACAGTCCTTAAGAAAATACGGAGCTATCATTGTTTGGTATATGTCATAATTTGCCTAATGCCCAAGAGATATAATTTATTCTCGCCATAATTAGTATGTTAAATTGTAAATACAAATTCATATATCTATAAATACACTGTACAAAATAAACGTGGGAGCCAGCGCGGGCGAATGCTACGGCCACCGCCGAGTGCACGCGTTCACGAGTGTGGAACAAATTCTTTTTCGAAGCATACATGCACAACGGCTGCGCCCTTCCATTCGACCACGACAGATAATACATATATTATTTAAATAATTGAAAAATACATGCCCTAATATTAGTATTTTAGATAGAAGAGCCATATAAAAATGCTTATGTGAACTGTCAATATATACCTTTTTTTGTAATATCAACACCTGATCGTTACTATTTTTTCTTGAATGTATTTTTTTCTATTAATGGATTAACTTTGAACCCACTTATTTATAAATTACTAGCGGATGTGTACCCGGCTTCGTCCGGGTTTTATCCGAGTATCAGTACTTGGTTAATTATAATTTTTCTTGGTTAAGAGTGCGGCAAAAAACTCTTCCAGATTTAACTCTGTCCTGTTCAAATTTCAGCGAGATTAGTTACATATTGAGGGCGTGCATAGCCGACAAACATATATATATGTACAATTCTTAATGTTACACTGCATAAGTTTCTTTTTTTTTGTGAAAAATCAATATTTATTTCAAAGAGAAATATTTACTATTTCTAACTTTTTTTTTTTGAATGAAGTATGAGAGGGTGAAAATATGAAGAGTAATGGCGAATGGAAAAATAAAAGTGTCCAGGGGCGGGAATCGAACCCACAACCTTCTGCTTACCGGGCAGGTGCCATGTCCACTAGGCTACGCTGGACGTATTCCTCCGTTCGTAAATAATATTTAAAGTAACTTATAATACATTATAAAGGACTGCGGCGAGTGATTATAAACAATTCTTAAAGTTACACCGCATAAGTTTATTTTTTTTGTGTTAAAAATCAATATTTATTTCAAATAGAAATATTTACTATTTCTAACTTTTTTTTTTGAATGAAGTATGAGAGGGTGAAAAACTCGCCGCAATCCTTTATAATGTATTATAAGTTACTTTAAATATTATTTACGAACGGAGAAATACGTCCAGGGTATCCTAGTGGACATGGCACCTGCCCGGTAAGCAGAAGGTTGTGGGTTCGATTCCCGCCCCTGGACGCTTTTATTTTTCCGTTCGCCATTACTGTTCATATTTTCACCCTCTCATACTTCATTCAAAAAAGTTAGAAATAGTAAATATTTCTCTTTGAAATAAATATTGATTTTTAACACAAAAAAAAAAGAAACTTATGCGGTGTAACTTTAAGAATTGTTTATAATCACTCGCCGCAGTCCTTTATAATGTATTATAAGTTACTTTAAATATTATTTACGAACGGAGGAATACGTCCAGGGTAGCCTAGTGGACATGGCACCTGCCCGGTAAGCAGAAGGTTGTGGGTTCGATTGCCGCCCCTGGACACTTTTATTTTTCCATTCGCCATTACTCTTCATATTTCACCCTCTCATACTTCATTCAAAAAAAAAGTTAGAAATAGTAAATATTTCTCTTTGAAATAAATATTGATTTTTCACAAAATAAAAGAAACTTATGCGGTGTAACTTTAAGAATTGTTTATAATCACTCGCCGCAGTCCTTTATAATAATATATATATGTTCCCGGCTTCGCCCGGTTTTTACCCGAGTAAAGGTTTGCCTAACGACCATTTGCTAAAACGATTCTAGCAAACATCCAATCCCTTCTGAATCTATACTTGTCTATACTCTCGATAATTTGAATTTTTTTCATTGTCCCTTGAAAAATACTCGATAAGTTGAATAAAATCAATATTAATTGGTCCACTCGGTAATTTGAAGTTGAAGGAATAGTATCTTGCCACAAACGAATATTTGTAAATAACTGTATTTAGCGAATATACCAGGCTTCGCCCGGTTTTTACCCGAGTAAAAGTTTGCCTAACGAATATTTTTTAAAACGATTCTATATATAGATTTATAAACGTATATAATAATTTTTATATGCGTTTAAATATATTTTAGAAACGCATAATTTTTTTGAAAACATTTATTAAATTTTAAATAAGATATTTTCTCTAAATATTTATTTATATTGAAATGCCAAGTTTTTTTACAACATCATTGGAATATTTTATTGCTAAATCCTCAAATTAAATATTAAATGTATTATACTTGGAACACATTTTAGCATTTTCACAATTTATAAATGTAATTTCACCAGATGCCGCTAGAGGCGCTGCTTGCGAGTGAAAGTAGAAAATTCGCAAATAAAATTGCGACGAATATTTATTTCAAATCAAATTCAAACCAGAAACCTTCCCAGTAGTATAGTAAATAACTTCCTAAAGTTTCACGGCGATTGGATAATCTTACCTTTTAAAAACATTCACGTGTAAACAAACTAACAAACTACGCGTAAAATTATTAACCAATCAAATTCATTTATCGTCGCTATCAGTGCGGCGCCAAGCGGTAAAAGGCTGGAACTAACGCTTTTTGGTTTTGATTTTTTTAAAAAAGCACATTAACCTTTTAAGTTTTTTGAATGGCCTATATGTTAAACGGAATCTTCAGCTACCTACATGCGAAATTTCATAATGATTGATTCTGTAGATTTTGTGCAACACGATAACAAACATCGATTTTGGATTTCATTTTATAGATATAATGATATTATCTCTCTCTCTCTCTCTCGCTGTGTTAATCTTATATTGTCTAAATTCAATTGGTATATTCCTTAAGTTGAATATTTATTCTTTATTAGATATATATCTTTATAAATTTAATTTCCATTTATCATTAAAATTTTACACATATAAAAAATTTACTGACAATGTATTTCTTTTAAATATCATATAATTATATCTCTACAGACCTTACTGCAATGATATAAGTTATTGAATGAAAGGGGTTGGCTCATCAGTAGTGAACCCTCTCAGCGGTTTCGCCATATTAATCTCTAAACCGCATTACTATTGTATTGGATTGGTTTGGAATATACCCTGTATTTTCTTGGTATATAATACAGGAGTTGCAATTAACTCTCGTGTAGGAAAAATGACACTGCCTGGTTTATTTACCTTCATAACGCTGATATAAAGGAGGGTCGGTGGAAGGATGGTCTAAACCATTAGTTTTGGACCGCTATGACCCGGGCTCGATTCCCGCATTGGGCACTTTTTTTTTCTGATTTTAAAAAAATCTCCAAAGGCCCCCGATTCTTCCAAATGTCCAACCCCACTAGAGAGTGTAAGTAACCAAACGGTGCTCTTGCATATTTTTAAAGTGCTAGCCGAACTGATTTCCACATTTGTAGACATGTGGTGCACTTACAGTAAGAGCAATCCCCTACTTCTATCCACCATGATTATCATGGCCTGTACTACGTGTACTAGGGATAAGAAAAAAAAAAACACTGACATAAATCTCTGGTTCTATTCCATTCCACGAGGTCTTTATACAGCGATATAGCCAGGATATGATAGCTAGCTTACAAGCTCCTGAAAATTAAGCATTTCAAATAATCTTTAAGCAACAACCACTATACATATCTCGTATTTTTATTGTTTTATTTATTTTTAGTCACTTATTACAAGTCAAATGTTATTAGTCTTTATAATCATTGTTGTTATGATTCTGTAGTTGCAATTACTGTAAGCGCACTCATATGTCTATATATGTATAGACCAGTTCTACATTTGCATTTACAATATTCCATCACCCTGTTATGCCCAGAGCAGCAGCTTCACACACCCAAGATAGAGGACATTGCGACTGCTGTGATAGAGATACATGGAGACATCTGAGGCTCTTCATTGGACACGACAACAACAGAAAATTGACATGGACCCAGAGCAGTAACTTCACACACCCAAGATAGAGGACATTGCGACTGCTGTGATAGAGATACATGGAGGCATCTGAGGCTCTTCATTGGACACGACAACAACAGAAAATTGACATGGACCCAGAGCAGTAACTTTACACACCCAAGATAGAGGACATTGCGACTGCTGTGATAGAGATATATGGAGGCATCTGAGGCTCTTCATTGGACACGACAACAACAGAAAATTGGCATGGACCCAGAACAGCAGCTTTACACACCCAAGATAGTGGACATTACTGCTGCTGTGATAGAGATGTATGGAGACATCTGAGGTTCTTCATTGGACACAACAACAACAGAAAATTGACATGGACCCAGAGCAGCAGCTTCACACACCCAAGATAGTGGACATCACTGCTGATGTGATAGAGATGTATGGAGACATCTGAGGTTATTCATTGGACACGACAACAACAGCAACCCTATTATGATACTTTTGCTAAACCATTAAGTTTGGAAGAATACAGAGGGCCACTGAAACAGATTTAAAGAAAAGGATTTTCGTTCCTATGACATGCTTATCAAAATATACCAAGTAAACAACACTCTGCCTTTATATATTAATTTATACAGGCCGAAATACCCGGTATTATTCGAATAGCAACTGAACGAAGCATTCAAAATGGCAATTTCTGTGGTTCATTTGGACGAGGAAAGCGAAGACTAGAACGCGACTGATTCCACACTCGCCTGTTCAGTGATTCGCTAACCATGACGTATGCACGAAGGAACGTGTGGCCATTGGATATGCGTCGGAACTGGAATGCTTTTTTTGGGTTCTATGCTGCCTGGAGTTAAGGAGCTCCATCTATGCTTCCTTTCTTTCTGTGGTGAATCTGTATAAGACCGGTGGTATCAATAAAGCTTTGTTTGTGTTATATACGAGGGTGAGTAGAAAAGTAAGTTCACCTATTTTTTTTTTTTCATAGAAAAACACATTTAATCACAACTTTTTATACATCATTGGAAAGGTTGGACACTTTGATATTTTTCTACATAGTCGCCTTGATGCTCAATCACTTTTTTCATCCTGTCAACCAACTTTGTAATTCCGGTGTTGTACCACTCTCCCGCCGCCTCTTTGAGCCACTTGTGGACCCACCTGGCGGACACCTTTCTGTAGCCGAGGGTCTCAGACACAATCTTGTGCACGGAGAAGTGGCTGAAATCTTCATTCAGGCCATCCTCGATCTCTTCAAGGGTTATCCGCCGGTTTGCGCGCACCATTTCGTCGATTCGAGCCACGGTTGATTCCGGCAAACTCGGCCGCCCAGACCGCTGTTCATCGTGGACGTTTATCCGCCCCTCGTTAAACTCCCGGCACTTCCACTAACTGACGGTGAATTTCGACCGGAGAATTATTTTTCGCATTTGAAAAGCGTATAACTGAGCGCAACTCGCACTTGGCGGGTGAGCTAAGGGGAAGCTCCATCGGGAACGGCTGCCAGACAGCGACTGAGCGTCCCAAGATCACCGGGAAGGTTCTAGACGGTAGAGGGTGAACCAAGAAAGGCAGCGGTGTTGTCGGATTTCACCAAGCAACGCGCGTTCGGAAATTATTCCTTAGAAGACCTTACTTTCTACTCACCCTCGTATCAATTTAAAATATTATTTTGTAAAATTTAGGCTGAAGATGTTCAATCATAATTTAGCCAGGCATTATTTATTATATACTCGGGTTTCAAGAATAACAATATTTTCTGTTAATAAATTTTATCTATAAATTAACAAATAATAATAACTATTTTCGATTCAAATATTTATAAAAATTCAGATATTATTGATTATTTGACATTGCGATTATATATATTTATATCAGTCTGTCCCAAGCGGACAAAATTCAACAGCCTTACACACGATCGTTGTTGTCTTTTTTTTTATCAATAAACGGGTTGATATTATGGAACAAGCCTAAATCAACGTTTAGTTGATTTTTGTTTCACTAGATGGCGCTCTGCCATTTAAAATGATCATACAAGCTATCAGTATATGCTTCTTGACTTTAATATATTCATATTTGGTATATATTTTTGATAATGATTTTATCAATTTGCTGATTTTATATTTTTCTATATTATTATATTATTTCCCATTGAGATCATTCACTGATCTAAAATATGGGTATTTTTGCGAATTGTTCTGCAGAAGCTTCAAAGTGAACCATTTTTCTAGATCATTTTGAAAGTAATATAGACACTTTGTATATAAAAAGAGTTTTAAGAAAGAACACCTGACTTGAAGAAAAAAAAAATAAAATGCTTGCTTTCTTATTTAGATAATAAAAAAGGTACCAGGCAAAAAATAACTGATTTATATAGCTGTAAGCAGCGCCATCTGGAGGCCAACTTCGTAGAATTGTTCTAGAAAATATCTTTATAATTATATAAAACCTATATATATAGTATTGTTTCAAATGGTACTGTCGACGTATGGATAAACTGGCAGTCGTGTACGTGAGGCGAGTGTTGATGTTCTTCCCACACGCGGACAACAATAAGCAGAGGCAGGGCTAGATGTTAGCACCGAGAGTGATCCGGGACAGCCCACGGGACA